CTGGAATGTCTAGGGGACACCTGGCACCTTCTTAGTGCGCGTTTGACCCTTGGCACCTTACTGCGCTAGAATGTCTAGGGGACACTGGGCACCTTCTTAGTGCGCTAGAATGTCTAGGGGACACTTGGCAACTTCATAGATTACCGCTAATTAATTTAACTACTCTCCGTCATTTATAAAAGCCTGACGATCTTCCTCCGCATCCACTCTTCTGAATGCCGCATTTGTCACCACAAACAGAACAATACCAGCTAGAACAACAAGCGTGATGCCCAGAGTATTCCCCACTTGTGCTGGAGCTGGTAATTTTGAATAAGGGTTGCTGCAAATTAAAGCGAAGAGTTTTCATTTCGGTTACATGTAGAAAAAGATACACGCATGTTAAAAGGTACATGTACAGTTTTAGACACCAGTTAGGTCAGTTAGGCAAAAGTCTCCCAGATAGCTGTAATTACGACTTCAAAATGAAAAGAAAGAAATATTGTATGGGCAGATACTGCAGAGTGCAATGTACAGCACTGACACATAGCAGTAACACAGCTCCCAACCCTGCCAGATTTCCCTCTGGTCAGGTTTTGGCACATACGTTTTTTTTTTGGCATGTCTGACAATATCAGGAGTTAAAACTCTTTACGGGCCAAGACTTACTCAAGGTCTAAAAACTCGTGGAAAGAAAACGAGGCCAATATCCAGCCCTATTGTCGGAAGAAGCTTGCACTGGGTCAAGAAAAGATCTATTACATGACATAAAGAGAACCACTCGCTTGCGGGAAACAGCGGTTAAATCGACATCTTGCCCGGTCAACAATCGCATAGCAGGATTAAGTTCATCTTGCCCTCACGCAAAGCTAGCCATATAATAACAAATGGTATTATATCTACTTACGAACTAGGAAGGAAGGAAAGTTCCTCAGTAATTCCCATGAGACAGGTTCCAATAGCCAATATGAAAATAAACACTCCAAAGAAAACATGAACTTTCAGATACACTGCACGGAGACCACCAGGTAACTTGGGAAACAGGAAGCTCACAAAACCAAACAAAACCTGAAAAGAAATAGGAAACCAAATTTATCAATGACAAAGTCAAACCTAGGTGAGGACAGAGAGTCATCCATTAGTAGGCGTTGCTATTCCCTGCATCTCTGACTTACGAAGTATAGATTGACTTATTGTATA